GGGGGAACATGGAAAGTCCACACAGTAAGGCACCTGTCTGATGTGTGGGGGGGGGGGGTATTCAGACCAAGGAGCTTCCTGTTGTACAGCAACAGCGCTAACCACTGCACCAACAAGCAGCTCCTCAAATGAAACCATTCTTTGTTTCGGTAATTTCAACCCATTCTCACTCACAATGAGTCACGTAGATCAGCTCTGTCTATGGACTAATGGACTCCAAATATGGAATGGGGACCTTTTAGTGTATTTTTTGGGGCTATCGTTGAGCTTAGAATTTGAATACTTAGAATTTAATATTTCTTAACAATAAAGTTACTTTCCATCAATCCATCCATTATATTTACTGCTTTGGGGCGAGAGGCGGGGTTACACCCTGGTTTGTTCCCCTGTCAATCACAGGGCTGACATATAGAGACAGACAACCAGACACACTCACATTCACACCTTTGGCCAATTATTTGAGACACCAGTAAACCTAACGAGCACGTCTTTGGACAGGGAGAACATGCAAACTCCAATAAAGGGTTTTTGCAACACATATAAGAAAGGGTAGTTATTTTCTTGTTTCTTAATGAATTGAGCTTGTAAAAAAAAAAAAAAAAAAAAAAAGCATCTTTTCCACTCAGCTTTTCATTTTAAAATCCTTGCTTACAGGAAACACACTAACGCACATATAGAAACCGTCTCTGAAGATCAAAAAGGAACTTTTCAGCTTTCATCACTACATACAGTACAAAACTCTGTGTTTCATTTTATTACAGAGTCGTAGTCCGAGTGTTTCTTTAGAGCTTTCAAACCTGATCATTACAGAACATTCTTTCATGTGCTGAACTGTTAAACTGCATTCTTTCTTTAATTTATCATTTTCACTGAATAAACACGACTCCGAGAGCTGGCTTCTTCTGCTTCCTTTTGTCTTCATCGTTAAGATGCCACAAAGGCTACCGCTGGCATATTAATGATCCAGTCGACGTTATTAAAAGTCATTTTATCATCTGAATTGAAAAAAATGAACGGCTTGTGTTTGATATTGTTGGCAGAACTAACAAGGAGAAAGTTCGCTTTGATCAGCGAAATATCTGAACCCTGTAGGAGAGTTTTAATCAGCAGCAAGGTTTTGGCTTGAAAATATCTCCGAACGAAAAAAAAAAAAAAAGGAAAGTTGATTAGGTTAAAGGGAGGGGAGGGAGGGAGAAGCATAAAACAAGTCTAAACCCAAAGAGATCATTAAGTTAATGGATTACTGGTGGCTAAAAGCATTACACCGCCTGCCTTGGTATCTCAGGCTGCAGAGATCTGCGGACAGCCGAGTGGTTTTGAGCACCACGCTGAGCGGGCGACGCTCAGAGCTTGACAGCCGGCTCAGGAGTGACGAAGGGTGTTAGCAGCCCTGCATCCTCCAGTCTGCAGCTGGTATTAGGCACCGAGCACTCTGTCAACACATATTACTCCACACACAAATCATGTGACTGTTGTCAGCGCTCTCCGGTGCTACAGGGAACAGAGCAGGAAAGACAGAAAGTTAAAGAGGATGCTGCTCACGTGAGGAACAGGAGGAGAGGACATTTTTTGAGTTGTACAAGTAAGAGTAAGCAACTGGAGGAAGTTGAAATGGTTCAAGTAATGAATCTGCTGATGACATCTCAAGATATATCACAAATCTAAACCATCCTCAAAAGAATGTTATTATTAGAAACCCAATGAAAACCAAGCGGCAACCTCCGGTCATGAAAAACAAAGCAGCAACACTAAGGGCTGGTCCAAGCCAAGCCTGAGCCAAACATACAGAAACAAAAAAAAAAGTTTGAAACCTAGTCTTTAAAGCAGAGAGTGTGTCTACCTCCTGGACCCTGACTGGTAGATGATTCCAAAGAAGAGGGGCCTCTACCTCCCATAGTACATTTGGAGACTTAAGGTACCACAAGCAGACATGCAGGGCCGGCTGCAGCCACTTTGGTGCCCTAGGCCAGATTTCGATTTGGATGAACTGCACGGTGCCGAAGCACACCTCTTTCAAGCGTACCAGGGCCCAAAGAAGTATACTGTGCTTATTCACAGATCGGCGCACTCAAAGTACTATCTGAAAATTAAAAATATGCAATCATTATCTGTAATTTTATTCTCAGTAAATAATCACATTTAATATTAAAATCACCAAAGATGACCCTCCCCCGGGTCAGGATGTCGAAGGATTAAAGAAAAACAGGAAATATTTCATTATTCAAACGCAAGCATGATGCAGGAATTTATGGACATGTCTGTGGCATGCAATTCAGTTCGTTTGGAACTGGACTTTAGGGGGGGAAGCGTTCTTGGGCACGGTACAAATCGCCTAAAGTGATTACGCCCTAAGTCAACTGCTGCTCTTTCAAGAGACTCAAACTATTGTAGTTTCCATTTCACTATCAAAATCACTTTACCTCCTTGTCATCTTTTTGAATCCCTCTTACTATCCAGCAATTCTTTCAGTACGACCTCCGTTTCTCGGTGTCGTAGCAGAGGTTTTTGAAAGAAGCTGGACGGCCTTTAGAGACTTGTTATGGAAAGCCTGATAATAAGAATAGACATAATCAAACAAAGAATCATCAGAGAGCTGAATGATGGAGAAAAGAGAAATAAACCTGGTATCGGACACCTGTCACTTCAGAGTGGAACATCAGGTTGAAATGAAGTGGAAAGCAGACGTTATGATTTTTTTTTTCTGAGGCAGCTGTTAACTGCCCAGCCTTTAATCCTCGAGGCAGCTTCAACTGTGACACACACGACCTGATATAGGCGGTTATCCACCGGAGCTTGTCGGCTGTAAAGCTGGACTGCGGTTAGCTTAACGCGACAGCACAAAACAGAATCACGGGAGAAGACCTGAGGATCACCGCTAAACACTGAAGATCCAACACCCCCACACACACACACACACACACATCAAAAGCCTGTTTACTGTGTTTGTTTTAGCGCTGCATGGTGGAGATCTTCACCCTTACATTGCTATCCAGTGACAAGAACGGGGGATTTGTCTGCAGCTTGTGTACGTGCGGAGCTGGCTCGGAGGCTAAGGAGCATCATTACGGACTAAACACAACTAAAACAAAACACAGGCTTTCTGGTGCCCCACAGTCTGCCCGGCTGAGGCAGTGGAAGAACACGGGGAGGGGGGGAGTCATTTTCAGGCAGCGAGAGAGAGAAGCAACACAAAACTCAGACGATTACAGCTGTAATTTATTAAAAACGACTCATTCTTTATTTCTTGAGTTGCACATGACACATCGATGGCTACATCTTTTTTAAAAACTCACATCGTTCAGCCAAATTTGCTCAAGCACCAAAGAACTTTCAGATTCTGGTGACGCTCCCCAAAAGTTTCCAAAAGTGCAAAATCTCCGTATGAATCGTGGGGGAATGCTAATAAAATAATGACAGTGCAGCAGTTAAAAATGTGCCTTCAATAAAAGCGCTGGAAGGAGCTGAAACAGAACAAACGTGACGCTGTGGAAAAAACAGAGACAGGGAGGGCAGAAGTTGAAAAGTTTAAGAGATGAATTAGCATCATCAGGCTCGGAGTCAGTTAGAGACGGCTATTATGCGGTGGTAGTAAAACAAGAGAGGAGGGTACCTGGCTGCCAAGATGTGAAGCACTTACTGGTGTTTTGATGTCGAGAGATGTGTGTTTGTGTTGCGCGGCGGTGGAAGAGCAATTCAGATGTTTAACTTCTAGAAAAACACTGCTAAAATAAACCCTTAAAGTCTCTTTTTGTAGCATCTCATGAAGTTATTACAGCGGCAGCGACGGTCCCACTCCCATCGAATTTACACTTAAGTATTTTGAACAGTTCATTACTGTTTGGCAGGAGGGGTTTAAAGATATATCAATCCACTTTAGCATCTTGATTTTCTGTTCTATAACACTATATACATGCTCACTGAAGCCAAATTAAATAAAAAGGTAAAAAGGCAAAGATTTAGATTTTTTATAAGTAAAGATTTCACTCATATTTTATCTGTACAGTGGTGATTTATTTTTTTATACTATTGAGGTTTTTACCTTTTGGACATTTTAGAAAGCTCATTTCAAACCTCCCAACCTCTGTTGTGTTTTATTTATTGGGTTATTTTGCCTTGATGGTGTATTTAAAACTATGTGAAGAGGTCTGCAGTGGACAACAACAGTTCTAGTTTCTGCCGCTCAGCGTGCTGTTTCTGGACAGCAGTTCATCGGATCATTCTTCAATCCTTAATCAATAAAATGTCAACTCCTAAAGAAGTCACTCTCTTTTTTTAATCGGTGATTTCCTAAGTCCTGTGATGAAGCTGTAATGAAGTGTTTGCAGGTTGTTTTCTCCCAATGATGTAGGCTGTACAACAACATAAAAAACATGAACTTGGGAATGTTTTAATGGTTTCACTGCATTCAGTCAGAGAGACAGCAGAAGCATCAGTCTCAGCTAAATCTAGCTGCTCTCTCCTCTCCTCTCCTCTCCTCTCCTCTCCTCTCCTTGGCTGTAAATGGGAAGGGAGGGGTTTTGCAGATGAAAGAGTGAGAACTGTTAGCAGCTGATTCCTTCAATCACTGTTTTAGAGCTCCTCTCTTTATCAGCATGTAATGGATCTGATTTATGACTGACAGTTTAACAGTGATAAGATCGTTCTGATTGACTGGAGACCTAGATAGAAAAAAATGTTGGATTATCACCTCATTTTAAATCAGAAACATATATATTTCCAAACACCTCTACATGGTCACCTAATCTTCTTTTGTTTCCATAAATAAGTGCTAAGACATAAACGTTAATACGGATGAGCCCTGACACCGTGGAGCGTGGAGTGCAGGATTGTAAGAAGTAGGTGATGCGTAAAATGGTGTTAGCGTGACACATGGTGCGCACTGGTGGCAGGTGACGCAAAGGAAGCAAAGGACAGCGTTTCAACTCGTTTCTGTGTTGTTTTATTGTACGAATATAAAGAATAAATAGCACATTTCTTTAATTTACAGGATAAAACAGGTCACAGATACATGGCGGTGTTCGATAGTCCACTCTTTGAGGTCGATCTGCTTCATCCAAATACGGATGCGAACAGCGAGTCCTTACGTGGTCTCTATAACATGGCGCCATATCTCCATAAATACAAAATATAGAACCAACATTCTCCACAAATAAAAGTAGACTCTGGTTACAAAATAATACTGACTTTGTACAGGGAGCTATATAGAACTGCATGGCACCGCATATACAGAAAATACATTCCTACACTCGGTAGTGCACGTGAGAAAAGAATCACAAAATTAATGAGCTTATAATTTATTTTTCAGTCTTTATTTGTTGTTTTAACTCGAGCAGGAGCATTTGCAGTCCGTGATGATGGGGTACTGCACGGGTATCCACGCGCACTTAAGTCCCCCTTTCCTCTGCACGCACCTCCATCTGAGCACCGTCAGGTGGGTCGAGTTCGCGGGTTTGCACACCATCCCCTCCGGAACCGAACACGACCTTTTGCTGAGGCAGCTGCCCACGCGCACGAACCGCGGCCAGAACCGGTTCCCCAGGTCGGTCCACGTGTACACGACCGGGCAGAACGAGTACGCCCACAGCCACTGCTGCAGCCGCCGCTTCAGTTTCTTACTCGGCTTGTGCTTTTTGCCGAACTGGACGTCGAAATCCACCGCTCGGATCTCCTTCGGGAGTATTCCGCCGGGTTTCTGGATGTCAAAGTCATCCAGCTCGTCGTTGCCGCCGGTGAATCTGTCCTCCACTGGGGGCAACACGGACAAAAAGCGGCTGTCAAAGTCCCCCAGCACGCTCTTCAGCTCGGTCTCGTTAAGGTCCCGCTCCTTGGGGTCGAACACCGGGTCCGGGTCTTCTTTTAATTCCACAAGCGGGAGGCTGTCACTCGGGATGGGGCGCAGGAGGTAGTAGTGCTGACATATCCCCCTCTCCATCAGAAGTCCGAGGGAAAGCACGAGCAGATACATGGCCACACACTGCTGAGGCTGATCCATGTCTCACGGGTCCAGACTGTGAGATCTGTGCGCACACGGAGCTGCTAATTGTCCACTTTCTGGTGCGCAATTACGCGTGAGCGGTATCCAAACCTGCGTCTCTGATGTCCCTTTAAATGTCAGTGTCCCATGGTGAAGATCCGTGACAGAAATCAAATAAACAGTTCCATTCAGCATCAGTGGAAACTATTCTTGATTTCAAACTGGATGACAAAACTCAAATGTCTCCTCGGAGTCCGTGCGCGCGGGCTCGGCATGATGCTCTCGATGACTCCACCACAGATTAAAGCAGTGAGTGAGAGAAACCCGCGACCCCTCGTTTTATTCCCCACACAGCGTGACGTCATTTCAGTGCCCCCTCTTTGAATGTGGTGGTTTGTTGTCTAGGAGGAGATCCCCAACAGCTCCTTCTTCCAGCGCGCTGAAGAGGAGGAGGAGGAGGAGGAGGAGGAGAGAGGGGAGGGAGCATGCAGGGAGAGGAGACGCCCCCTGTCGGTTTTTCCAGACTTCCTTAAATTAGAGTCACAGTAGGAGTGATTGTTGGGGAGTCTTTTCATCTGGAGAATAGTTCAGCTGGAGATGCAGCATGAAGAACCCAAAAGGTACATGGAGAGTCTGACTAACAACCAGAACTCCAAAAACTTCATACAACATGTTCTCTATCATTTAGAGGCTGTTATATGTATTTATATTCTGCTCAAACAGCATAAATGAACACTGACGGTTACCAGTCTGATGCTAAATCAGTCATATCGCATATCGTTTTTTTTAAATACCAAAAATATTATTTTTTAACATTTCAAGATATATTTTTAAAACTTAATTTGATTTAATTTTTCATGATGTTTATGGCCAGCCAGAGCTCCAAGGGTATAATTCCATTTACCTCAGAACTCAGATGTTGGAGCTGGAGATGAAGTCACATCCGAGTTAAAGGCACAGTGTGTAGATTCCACCACCAGGGGGCTCTTAATCAGTACAAAAACAAAAGATGACATTGAGGCCGGCGCGGGGAATCATCTTTTATCAGACTTTCATCGGACACCCTCTCATATCTAAGAAGCCTCTCGCAAAACTCTCTGGATTTTTTTTTTTTTAGGATTTCAGAAATGTGTGTGTGACTTTGAAACGGCTTGAAAAAGTCGTGGTGTGTAAGGCCAACAGAAGTGGACGCATGAGGAGAAAGCTGTTTGTTCCACAAGTGTCCTGAGTGTGGGATGCTCCGGCTTGTTGTGTTTATAGAAGATGTTCACCAAAATGTGCATACACACACTCACACAATAACAAAAAAAAAAGAGATACAAACAAGAGGGGAACTGTGGTACGATACAGTTTTGAAAGCAGATTTAGATAAAAAAAACAAAAAAAAACAAACAAAACAAAAGGAAAAGGGTCAGTAAATAAAATGAATGAATTAGAAAGAGGGACAAAATAAGTGAATGAGCAAACAGGACAAAGAAAAACCATGGTGGACAGTATAGTAACAAAATGATGTAAAATCAAACTGGTGGGATAGGTTGTACACATGGTGATGATTATTGGTGTTATTTGTTTGTTTTTGTTTTTCCCTTTGTATGAGTGCTAACATGAAGATTGCCAAAGAAGATAGAAGATGTTCCATCATAGAAGCCAAATCATATATCACCTAATTACCAGAACATTAAAATTCTTAGTGGAAAGGCAGAATTTACAGCCTGAATATGCCCCGTTAAGTACACTTTCTGCAGAGTGTTTACATCTCGTTTCCAACTCCAAGTGGGACAATATTTCTGCCTGTAACGGAGCCACGGCGAGCCTCTCAATAAAAGCCGGCCAAATTAGCGCCCAAATAAACAACTCGCTCGTCTAAGCAGCAAGCCATGGAAAGTATCACAATTTGTGAAAACCTGTCTAAACTCTAAGCTCAGAGAATCATTCTTTGAAAAAAAAAAAAAAAATAATAATAATTTAATGGAAGAACTTAGCCAGCTGCTACATCAGCCATAAACCATCGGCTGGAGATAAATGCATCTCTGTTTCATTTTTTGAATGAGCTAATTCACACGAGCGCTCGACGCAACACGACTCATTTAGTTTACGGTCAAATGATGGTGAAAAGTCTGGAAAATGTCACCCTTATATTTTTCATCTGACCAGCACGTATCATAAACTATGGACCCCCCCCCCAAAAAAAAGAACGCCTGACAGATCGGCTCAATTCAGCATTCACATGTGGGATGGTGCAGAGTGAATGAGTCACATAAACAGACACACATAAACCTGATGTCAGCCTCTTCAACTGCATTAAGACACATCAGCATAATGCTATTAAGCAGCAGCACCAATCATTGACATGTATTACGTTAATGCAGATGCAGTACTGGACCTTATTTAAAGGGTAATTCTGAAAAACACAAATAGGGCCTCGGTTTGTTATTACAAGAACGGCGCTTTAGAGGGCGTCGTTGCACACTTGAGGAACGTTTCAAAGAAAGAAGCTGACATGTTTAATGAGATTTCTCGCGTCGGAATATTTCATTTCTACTGCGGCTGCACGGGTGAAGTCCAAACATGGTTCTCATTAAGTGTCATCAAGGATTTTGCCCAGGCTCATTTAACGCCGAGGTTGTTTTTGTTTCCTCTAATCCCTTCCTACTGTTTCACCACAGGAACGTTCGATAGTGAAATATTCCTCCCTGAGATGACAGGTTGTACTTGAGACAGACGCCTGCCTAATTGAGGAGGGTTTTTTGTTTTTTTAAACCAAACAAAGCTCCCGTTTGGCTAATAAAACCTGCCGATGTAATGACCTTTATTTAAACGGGGGTCTGGTCCCTGAGAAGACGCTTAAAACCAAGCGCTTAAGGATATGCGTTTAAAATGAATCTCCTGTCTGAGCCGAGCCGAGCGCAGGTCTTTGTGTACTTCCCTGCTGATTTCTCATTTCAGTGAGAGAAAGCAGACTTCTCTCTTGGCAGAGAGAGCTGCGGCGGCGAAACTGAGAAACGGCACGCTCAGGTAGAAACACACACAGCCGGGAGGACTCGGCGACTCTTGATAGCTCTCCTGCATGCGAGGGATAAACCACAAAAAAGACCCGAGATACTTTAAGGAGACACAGAACGATCCGAACAGACTTTTCAAGCGTGATTTCTCGTCCTGGGAGGCTTTGAGTGTTAGGTTATCAACGAGAGAGAGAGCAGTTATAGAGCCAATCACCGAACACAAAGCACCTTTCACATACTTTTATCTCCCCTTAGTTCGCCTGTTTCACACCTCGTGCTAATTGAGGCCACATTACCAAGCTGAATACACACAGACATGATGTGGGTGCTATTCTGTTTACTCTGGCACTCGGGGAGGTGTGTGCAATTTGCTCGTTTGTTTAGCGCTTTTTTTTTCCATTCCCACACAATCACAATAATCACTCCTGCTGGGAGCTTAATTAGAAATAATTGCTTCTTCTGACGGCTGACCATGAGTCAAACAGCTGATTTGCATTCTTGAGAGGCCAAGCTATTTCTGACTTTAAAGAGTCATTCTAGTATTTTTTTTTTCAATCTTGGCACTATTTTTTTTTAGGTGTTTTAACTAATTTGGGGACAGAAAGTTTTGGAATTGTGACTCTAGATTTCTGCTGGCAGTGTTTGTGAAACAGGTTGGACAAAAGGAAAAAGGCCTCCAATCAAACTACGTCCATAAAAATGGGCAATGGTGTTTTACCACAGACGAGCTCAGCTTTACAGAGAGGACGCCTGCAGAAAAGGATCTCTTGACAAAGAGTAAGGGTGTACTAACACAAGGCAAAGTCGTCCCGTACCGTGCTTAAGCGCGATTGCCTAATGTCAGTGACAAAAAAATTCCAACTAGCTTCAGTTTAGTAAAAATTGGAAGAAGATTTTGCATTTGAATTTTTCAAACCTTGCGTTTACAGCATTTAAAGAAACAGAAAAAAGTTCACACCTTATACATCCTAATTAGTGAAGTCTGATTACATATTATTCCATCAAACTTTTAAATGTGAATCTATATAGAGTCATCCTCAGGTTGAAGCAAAGACCTCTAAATATATCTGCAGTATAACGAGCACCACAGTTACTGGAGCACATTGAGCTCATTTTTCCCACAGGTTGTTGTAGAGTCGATGCTCAAAGCCCGGGCGTCTGAGTGTGTGTTCCTTCCATTCCTCCATAAAACTTTTTTCACAGACACAAACAAGCAAATAAAGTCATTAAACCAAAGCTCAGACCAAAGTGCTCAGTGATTACTCAGGAGACTGAATTTATACGGCGCAGGGCAGACAGGTGACTGATGGACTTATTATATACAGTATGCATGAAAAGAAGAGATAACAAACCACGCAGCACTACTGTTTGTTAGTTTTGGGCAAATCATAAAAAATCAGGAGGAAAAAATATGTTGAAATATATTTGTCTGCTGCATTCTTTACGATACAGTGTCATCATCAACCTCTAAGATCATCCTCTATAGCTTCTGAAGTTATGGAGTGAAATGGATAACCATGCATAATCTTTAAAAACAGATATCTGGTTTGTAGCCTGGAGTAGAACTGACAAACTACGTCTATGGATTCCGTTGCTTGCAGGAAGTAAGTCAATGTCATGGGGGGGAAAAAAAGATGCAACTTGCAGACCAAAACACAATCCCAGAACTCCGATATTAGACGTGTTTTGAGTTGTCATTGTTGACTAAAATGTGAATAAAACCTATAAAAGTCTGTGTCTAAAGACTAAGGTTACTCCGATCCACTACAGCTATCTTTAATGCATCAGGTTGTACCGGTCAAACCTTGTGTGGTATGGACTTCTCAAAGCCATCATGCTAACCTCTCTCTAACTTTGTTGGCTTGAGAACAAGTCCAAGTCAGCAGTCGAAGATCAGCCTTTATTTTTCCTGGAATCAAAGTAAACACCTGAGCTCTTGATGGATGACTCAACACTCCATCAACCTGTCGCGTGATATAAATGAAGCTTGACAAGCAGCGCAGAACACCGCAGCTAGCAGGCGTCTGCTGCAGCTACCAGGGGAGGGGAGGCATTTAGAAAAAACTTCAATGCCACTGCTGAGGCTGAGTCGCTGATTCCTATGAGGCGATCCCGGCTGGATTTCTACGGATCATCAGGAGCCAGAGCTTCAGCCGTGCCAGAGGCTCCTGTGAACCAGCAACAGGCCAGGGGGGGGGGGGGAGAGTCAAGACTGTAGAGCTGGTGGGGGGGATGACGGGAGGTCGCAGTGTCTCCAAACCTCTACAACACAGACGGCTGTTTGTGCCACGCAACCCCCCCCCTCCACCAAACCCTGCCGACCCCACCTTGGTCTCCAAACTCT